TTTCAAGTGGAGCGATTGCTGCTTCGACCTCAGGAAGTTTGAGTGAAGTATCCACAATCACGTAGGTAACACGAGGGAGTGGGTTGCATGCCTGGGTCAGCTTGCGCCCAATTCTGCTCTTTCCCATTTTTCTTGACATTTTCTCCTGCCATTTGGCTGGGTCTCCAGAAATCCAGCTCACCACCACCTTGAATTTTTCTTTTACTTTCTCTAATTTTAGGTGTTCCACAGATTATGATTTTTAATACAGAATATGTTTAAATCATATTTTTAAATCATAATATGTTTACTTGTGGCATATGTGATGATTATCATTTCATAACTATAAAGTATGCATTTAATTTTGTTTTTTAGATTTTAGTTTTATTGAGGCAGCGCTGGCTAACAGCACCGTGTGTGACTCGGAAGTCCAGGATCCCACCTCTCGAATGTGTGTTACTGCGCCACACCCACCACCAAGGCCCCGTGGTCCTGCACCTCCCCCTCTGACTTTTTCCTCTCCCCTCCCCCTCTGGGAGACTTAATTCTATCGTCAGATGTCTAGGGTTTGCATTTGGTTGGATTTCAACTGACTCTCGGTTTCGTTTCTCTCTATTTCGCAGAGAAGTGAAGCCATCATTGTTTGTCTTTCTCCTTCTGAGTTATTCCAGTCATCGTTATTCCCTCTGTGACATCCTTCTCTTTCCTTCTGCAGGCGTGGTGGCTTGGAACCAGCTCTGACCCCCGTGCTCTCAGCCACACGGACAGAGCCCTCGTGACGCTCAGGTGAAGCCTGGAGGCAAGAGGACCCCGTTCTCCCTCTAAGTGGGAGGACACGTGAGGCTGTGCTTGTGAGGCTGGCTTGGTGAGATGGAGCCTTTCACACACGTTCATGAAGGGCTCTTGGCATCCACACATGTCCTGCTCTTGTCACCGGAATGTGCTCACTATTTGAAGCTCAGATGGCCCAATGTCTTGGCGTGCATGTCTCTCAGAGGCTGGCAGGACCCTGTAATTTCTGGCCAAGGTCTGTGAGTAGAAATTAAGAGATCTTCTTGAAGTGGGTGTGATGGGAAGATGCTTTCTGCTCCCATCATGTTAACCACAGCAGGATCCAGAGCATTAAGCTGTGCTTCTGGAATTACACTAAGAACAAGCTAAAGAGCTACAGATTTGAGTTAAATCTTTGACATCTCAAGAAAAAAAGAGAAAAACACACCTCCCATTTTCTCTCCCTTGTCAGACAAATTGGTATTCTGTTGATCTTGTTTTTGAAATATCTTGCAATGCAAGCCATTAGAGAGAGAAAACACTTATTTGTCATCACTTTGCTATGATGCTTGCAAGTGCACTGTCAAGGATGATTTTTCAGACATAATCCAGCCACGTGAGGATTGCTATTTGTGCTAATTAGTATGTGACAGCTTGGATTTCTCCAGAGGGCCTCCTAACTCTCGGGGCTTATTTAAAGCGAGAGAAATGTTTCTATAGAGGTGGTAAGTGGCATATGGTCCTAATAATGCCTCTGCCAGACCTCTTGCCCTCAGAAGTTTTGTAAGATATTTATCACAGACAAAGCCAAGTCCATTTTCTGGAGGTCAGGGCCTTTTCTCCAGCCCCACACAGGCTGTCTCCTACTTAAATTTTTGAAATCCAAAGTCCCAAAGGCTGAAAGTTGTTCCTCAGAATTTTGCAGTAAAACATTACCTGACTCGACATGAATTTCCTTATAGTCTTTTAATGATTTATCCCATTAGTGGGCACGGGCTGTGGTTTACTGCAGAAATGTGCATTCATTGGCTCTGCTTGACCCTGCTGAGGACATGGTTTTTCTGAAATTAAAGGGAGGGAGGAAATAATGGAGGGAGGAAGGAGGATTTTTTTTTAAAGGTTTATTTTATTTATTTATGTACACAAGAACTGGGGTGCAGGCCTGATTCACACGTCCAGGTGACCCTTCCTATTTCCCTCACAGTCATTTGCACTGTTCACCAGAACTTCATCACATCGGAACTCAGACTTAGAATTAATTGCATGTCTCCCCTACTTGATTATTAAGTTTTCTCAATCATTTATTTATTCATTCGATTAGTCAACTTTTAATGCCAAATTTTATAGTAGGTATGTGGAATGTCTGCACACACACACACACACACAATTATATAATAGATCATTACAGATATCTTTAAAATATATATTAATGCCTCCATCTTTGCAGAAGAAAGACTGAAAACCGAAGCTCAGAATCTTTAGACGATTGGTTTAAGGATGTAAGGAAGTTGCAGTGGCAGGATTTTAACCTAGGTCTTTCTGCCCCAAAGTCTATGTTTTGTGGACACTCCAGAGCGTGCGGGACGCACTGTCCCATTTGCCTCGGTGTGCTCATGCTGCGGATATTATTAAAGTGGCTTTTAAACAGGGAGTTGGGTATTTTGTTGACTGTTCCATTAGATGACTCAGAGGAACACAGGCTTCTCCTGCCGACGCTGCTTGATATTAAGGTCTTTTATTTGGTTTTAGCTTTTGACCTGTTGTCTTCTCTACCGACCTTGTTTGTTGATTTTCCTTTTATGTATGTTCCCAAAGAAAAGATAGGATCAAACCTGGTGCTGCTTAGCTTTGGAAACATATTACTTTTAATTCGCAGACTAACTTTACAGTGAGCGCTCAGTCAGCCGCTTGCATATCCCCAGGCAGGCCCAGTGCTGACCTGCAAACCCATGGTCCACTAGGCAGGATGCACCCAAGAAATGGACCCCAGGGCTGAGATTCATTCCTAGAAGTGCGGGGTCCTGTGGGCCCCGATCTCAGTTAATCCAAGCTGATACTTTAAGGGGTCTTTTCCAGAGATCTCTTCCAATTCACTTTTTTGCTCAACATTGTATAATGTGATTCCTCCCAGAAGGCACGTGTGGTGGCAGCTCATGCCGTCCCCTCTTGACGGTATCTCAGTGGAAAATCTGCGCTCTTATTCAGTCCATTCTACAGTCAATGTGCCCTGGGCTGCCTCTGGTGCCTTTCGTTTCTTCATTCATTCCTCACTTGCTTATCTGAAATTTATTCATTGAGAGCCCATTCGGTCTGATGTGTTGTTCCAAACTCTTGGAAAACATGAAAGCAGGTGGAGTAGTGTCCTCATAGGGGTTACATTCCAGAGCTGAGGCACCAACAAAATCAACGTGAATGTACATGTGTCAGACATGGGATAATAAAGCAGAGAAAGGGGATTGTTATGGCAATTTCCCAGAGAAATTGGGCGGCACTCAGAGTTGGAGAGAGAGAGATTTATTTGTCACACTGGCGGGCCCAATGGGATTGCTCCCAAAAAGTCTGAGCCCCAAATTGCAGTAATGGAAAGGTTTTATACAGTTTGCATGAGGAAGCTGGTTACCCCATCCATCACACCCTTCCTTTATTGTTTGGGTAGGGGGTCAAAGTAGCCACAACTCCTACTGTGGGCAAACAGCACACCACGGGAGCATTCCACTCCAGCAAGGAGCCGCAGATGCCAAGCAGCAGACGTAGCAACTTTCTGCTTCAGGATGAGGATTGTTGAGTTGAACAATGTAGATATTTTATATCGCATAGCGAGAGGAAACACATCGATAAGGTGACCACTTGCTTAGAGTCCCAAACTTTGTGCTCTGTGCAGAAAACAGAGCATAACAGCCTTACTCAGTAGGGCTTGGGAATGTCCGAGGCAGGGAAGTGGGCTGTGTTGCCTGGATCAGGTGACAAAGGAGCCGTGTGGAAAATGGGGTTGGAGAAGTTTCAGGGAGGCTGAGTCATGTGGGACCCTGGAAGCTAAGACAAGCATCTAAGCATCTTCGCTATTCCTCTCGGTGGGAGGGGAGCCCTCCGGGAGCTGGGGAGATTGTATGAGTGACCTGATGTGAATTACCATTTAATAGAGTTGCTCTGTCTGCTGTGTTGAATGTGGGCACTGAAAGGGTCAGAGATGAATCAGCGGGTCTGGTTGTGTGTACTGTGACAAGTTCTGGGGTGATGGTGAGCTCTACCCTGCAGTGAGAAACAATCCAGTTATGTAATATAGTAAGAATGGATGTATTAGTGGGTTCACTTTTTCATACCTCCTAGCGTCGAGGCTATCATTGACTTTGGGTTTATTTTGACCAGAAGAATAGTACCAAACGGAAGCAGACAGGAGGCTGAAAAACTGCTTATATATTTCTCCTTTCTTATCACTGTAATATCAAACATGTCCAGCTACCCTGCTCGTGGGATGTGAGAAATGTGAGGGGGAATTGAACTGTTCAAGCCCAGACCACCAAAGCTGGCCACCGGCTGACCACATATGCAAGACTGGGCAGAGATGAACTAATCAAAACCACTCTGTAGACCTGCAGGCTTGTAAAAATAATGAATGATCACTTTTTAAAGTCTAAATGTTGCTTATTATGCAGCATTAGCTCACTGACATGCATGTTGTAAAGGCAGATCTGATAAGGGTAGAGGCTGGTAAGACCATCATTTCTTTCATTTACTTATATTTATTCATATAAACAGGGAATCAGGTTGAGGTGGCATGGGGATTACAGGAGGAGGCTTTTTAAGAGAGGAGAGAGTATAAAATATTCATCTAGAAGAATGGTAAAGAAAATAAATGTAGGTGAATCCAATAGGTTAACTGATTGATACTAAAATGCCAGTTGGGATCAATGTTTCAAGATGCAAAGGGAGACAAGGCACGAGTCTTACATGTTTCTTCCAGACATATTGTGTTACTTGAAAGAAACAAACAGGAGGCAGATTTTACTTAATAAGGCTGAGTTTTTTAGGAGGAAATGGTGTCAGGAGCCAACAAATATTCTCTATAAAAAAGGAGATATTTTTAAATAAATATTTATTAGTTTTGTGTGCCAGAGTGTCTCTGTAGTGAGCCCTGAACTCTGCCACTGTAGCTGGAAAACAACCATGGCAACCACAGACAGAAATAACACCGAGCAGCAGTCTGTGTTCCAATAAAACTTTATTCACAAAGCAGGTGATCAGCACCTGCACTAGAGCATTGAGGACATCTGGAAGGGAGTGATTGTGATGTTAGACTATGTGATCAAATCAGGTAAAAAGGAGAGAAGTGAGGACATAGAGTGAACGCCTGCCTTTGTCAGATGGTGCCAATGTACCTATGTTTGTGCGTAAGCCTTGAAATGCTGTGGACTAAAGCAACATAACCAGGTAAATAGCAACTTGTTTTCCTTACTATCTAGATTTTATTCTTCCAATAGAAGATTAGGGAAACTAGTTTCCCTGCATCCTAATCCTAGCCAACACTTAATGTTTATGGATGTGTTTCTCTCTCTCTCTCTCGTTTCCTGGGTGATGAGCTTCTGAAATGTGTAATAAGTTCTACAAAGTTGACTTGGCATCTTGGTTTAGAAGATACTGAAAAGGATCAATAGGTCAAAGGCTCTCATTTTTTATTCATTGTATTTGTTTTATTAACATTTGTTCCATACATTTAATTGTGAATTTATACCATACGCTTGGCCATAATGGTTTTAATCACCCCCCTCTGAATGCTTAACTCTTCTGACTTTACATCCTATGTACATCACCCCCTACCTTGTAGGGTTTGCATAAATTTACCTCTCTGGATGCCAAAGATCCCCAGGACAATTTTTATTCTACTGGTTCTCTTGTGATAAGACAAACTTCTCCTTCCCTCTTACCTATATTTTAATATCCTATTTTTTAATCTGTGATAAAGAATGAAAAACATAAAAACGGACCTATCTCAACCATTTCGAAGAGTGCTCTTCAGTGGTATTGATATGCTTACATTGTTGTATAACCATCACCATCAATCTCTGTAACATTTCATCCTGTAAAAACTCTGTGCTTGTCAAATAATAACACCCATTGCCCCGCCCCAAGACTCTGGCAACCACCATTTCCTTTTTGTCTCTATGAATTCAATTACTTAGGACACCACACAGAGGTAGAATCATAGCATGCAATATTTATCTTTTTTTGCTACTGGCTTATCTCACTTTGCAAAATTTTCTAAAGACCCAACTGTATTGTAGTATGTATCAAGGTAGCCTTCCTTCTTCAAGGCTGAATAATATTCCAGCCACTGTGTGGCTCTACCATGCTTACTTAATCCATCTCTCTGTGGACAACTGGCTGGCTTCCACATTTAGTCTGTTGTGAATAATGCTTCTGTGAATGTCATAGTAGTGTCCCTCATTGTTTCCCTTAGGAAGACAGCAAAGTAGAAAAAAAAGACTTGCTGCTCCAAATGGTGGGCAGGCCAGTGGCAGGATATAGATTCCGATGTAAACTGCCCAAGCCCAGGGTCATGCTCTTTCCATTGATCAATCAATATGTTTTTATTGAACACACACCACGGCCAGGTCCTGGGAGAGATGCGGGAGGTGGAGAAGCAAATGAAACAGACCCTCCCCAGGCTCCTTAATGCACATCCTACTGAAGGAGCCACACAATTAACTGCTGAACAGACCTAAAGATTGTGTAAGTTCCAGAAAGAAAATAGGACAGGGATTTGGAAGCCAATACCTGGTAAGCAGGGGCTTTGTGATGAGCCTCTGTTAGACACCGTGGCCCTTGAAAAGAGAGACCAGAGAGTGAGAAGAAACCAGGCGTGAGAGAAAACAGGACATGGGGCCTCCAGAGAGAAGAGGTGGTGGGGCATATTTCTAGGATGGGAACTGACTGGTTTTACCCAGGAACCCCCATGAAAACCGTGTGTCTAGAGGATGCTGAGCAAGGAGGAGTATGACCTGCGCATGAGAAGAGAGGCAGGTGCTGAGACATGCAGGATCCAATTGAGGACTTCATCCCAAAGGCAGCAGGAAGTATTTGAAAGGTTTTAGGCACCAGCATGCTCTTATCTGATTACTGTTTACCCGTCTGATCCACTGTGTATCTGTATCACACCTTGATCCACTCATCAGGTGATGGTACATCTTGACACTTCCACCTCACCCTGATTTCTTTTCCTCATTTGGTTTAGAACTCAGATAGGGAAGCAAGGCGTTGCATGGCTGCCCTCCCAACCTAGACAAGAGGTGGACAACAGTGACTCAGGCTCCAAGACTTTCCAGCAAGGTGGTACCTCCATGATGGCTCCAGTAAGTCGGGGACCCAATTGGGCAGCACCACTCCTTCGACTCCTCTAGCCAAGAGCCATAATAGGCACAAGCATCACTCACTAGCCCTGTTCCAAATCCGCTATCAATAATTCAAGGAGCCAGAGAAGCTGAGTGTCTGTTGTTTTGCAAAATCACTGTTCCTTCTGCAGCGCACAGCACATCACTCTCTGCGGTCTTGTTGAGAGGCAACTTCCTCCTTGTCAGGTGGGAAGCAGACAGACTAAACAGGGAATGGCATTTTCTCTCCTGCAAGAAATAAGTAAAAATAAACACCCGTGATGGTAGCTGACATCAGCTCTCACTGTAACATTATCCAAAGGTCAGAAGGTGGAGCCAAATGCCAAACGCTGGGAGGAAAGGTTACTTCCTGATGTGGATGGTTCTCCTGATACCTAATAGGTTACCGGGGCTTGGTTGCCACAGAGATCGCAGCCTTAGGAAATTCTTCTTCCCTTCAGCTCTTGACATTATTTTTTTCTTGTTGTCATTTATCACAGAAGAAAGGGGAGCGAAGCTCACTGTCTTAGCAGAGTAATCTTTGGGCACTAGGGAAAGACTCTGATCTCACCATTAATAAGAAGCCCATGTCTGAAATGTTGTCTGACCGCATTTTGTAAGTGTTTTTGGAAGAATGATGTGAGGCAGAAGATGAGGGGCTTGGTGATGTTCCATTGTAGGATAACTAAGATAAAACAGTATGCACATGTTTTTGACCATGAGCGATCATCTTCCTCACATGCATCACTTAGTGACACTCCACACCTTGTATCCTGCCACTGCCCCTAATTCTACAAGATGGAACCAGGAAGCCATTGTTCCCTTGTCTTGATTCTTTTCAAATGGTAATTTCATTTACATCTCCCTGGGCAAAAACACAACCAGTGAACCATCCTGTCCTTTAAACACCTCAGAGCTTCTTCTATTTTTTGCTTTCTCTTTGACTGCTTCTCCATAAGAGAATTTTTGGTTTCTGTAGAATGAATACATTTCTCTACCATAGTGAACCAAATGTTTCTTGAAGAGTCCCTATATACACCACGCCCACTTCCCCTAAGGTCAGCATCTTGTTATGATAAGTATCACAATCCATGGGTCCCTCCCACAGACCATTCTTCACCTTCAGAATGCAACATACAAAGCTTTTCAAAAAATCTGACTTCAATTTACCATTCTAGACTCATCTTCCAAAATACCCTCCCTGTTCCCATTTTCTTCCCTATTTGCCATCCCCAGACAAGAGTCTTAACTCATACCTGGACGGACTAGACACCTGGGTATCCTCAGGCCTCTTCTCTCTCTCTCTCTCTCTCTCTCTCTCTCTCTCTCTTTCTCTCTCTCTCTCTCTCTGTGTGTGTATGTGTCTCTCTGTCTCTCCCCCGAACCCTCTTGGTGGTTGCCCTGTTTGGCTTCTCCTAACTTCAGAAGAGCCATGCATGGTCACTTCTGCCACATTCAACTAGTCAAGGACATGCCAAAGCCTGCCCAGGCCCTCGGGGAGGCACATAGATGCTTCCACTTGATGGGACGAGTGTCCTGCGATGTGTGGATTTATGTGGACATGTGTTAGAGTCACCTACTGAATAGAGGTGCAGTTGCTACATCTAACCCTATAACTGTCTGTTTTTATTCTCAGCGTTTTATAAAGGAAAACGGAGGAGCAGAGCAGTTCAGTAAACTCATAGTGTGAGGACGTGACCAATCCAGGACCGAGAGCCAGGCCTTCACTAGACCACTGAGGCCTCCCCCCACCGCACAGCACCCAGCGCATCATGGCTCTCACTTTGTATCTGATCAGCGAGGCAATAAATGGATGGATGAATGAACATTACATTCAAAAGCCAGTGTTCTTATCTGTTCTATACTGCCCAACACAAACATCACAAATTCCTCTCCTGGACTCTAGGTTCTGTGTATATATTTCCAAACACCAACATGGATATTAATTTATCCATTCATTGATTCATCTCCATCGTGGATTTATTTTGGACTGAATGGAGCAGACACTAGGCGGGTGCTAAGGATAAGCAGTGGGGAGTCCAGCGTGGCCCCTGTCGGGGCAGGCAGGGCTCACATTGTGCAGGAAGACAGTCCTGAGAGGGATGGTGACAGCATGGACTAATGAATTGCCTCCGTGATGTGTATCATGAGGGATCTGCACAGACTTGTTCCCACGTCATAATGACTCAGTAACCAGCAGCTGCGTCATTACTCAGGAAGCTGGGTTGATGTCCCACGAGCCCGGCTGGACTCCCTTTGTTGATGACATCAGAGTCCACTTAGCTGGCTGTGACCAGACCCCTTGGGCATAGAGGCTGACAGGACTGGCGAGTGGTGTCTGCTCCATGGTCACTTCATCCCATCACTTGATGGTGATTATAGGGCAGTGATTAATCAATCTAATCGATCACTGGTGAAGGCGCCATTCCTCACCCGCAGCCCTGGTCTCTGCTCCCTGCACAGACAGCTGCTTAATGACACCCCAGGCCCCCACACCAGTAGCCAATGGAAGCTCCTCCAGTCTCATCAACAAAAATGTCCCTTGGGGGACTAAGCTGTTCTGGGTTGACAAGTTGCAGCTGAGAGACAAACAGATACTTGTTTTGGCTTGTAACTGTGAGGTCTCAGAGATGTCACCCAGCCCCCCAAAGCTTAGGGTCCACATCTGTAAAATGGGCACATGAGTAGTGAATTCCTCACAAGGTTTTTTGTAAGAACTGGAGTAGGTTTTCCTATCATGTTTTGTGTTATTGTAATCTAAGCATTATAGGGTTTTTACACATTAATTCACTAAGCCTGATAGACTTCTCATGAGGTCTGTTAGTACGATTATTTATCTTCATTTTATGGATGGAGAAGACAAATTTATCTTCATTTGGATGGGGACACAGAGAGTTTAAGTAATGCACCCAAGGTGCAGAAGTACTAGATGGACGGGCAGGAAATGGAACCCCTATAGTCTGACCCTGAATCTCAAACACCATCAGTCATTACTTTCCTAGGGTCTGTAAAGGGCTTTGAAGAGAGACACGCTGCTTCCACACACGATGTCTGACATTACTGGCTTATTCCAAATGGCCACTGCTTGTCTTTCAGATAAATCCATAGAAGTTATGAGAGAATTTGGGGGTGATGAAACATAACACGTTCATGGGAAAGTTAACAATTACAAAGTATGCCCTTGGTGCTCAGCACCATGTTAATCCATGGAAATCCAGACATGAGCAAGGCCCAGCACTGTCCCTGTTCCCAAAGTTCATTCCAGCAAGGAGGCTCAAGCTCCCTCCCCTGCAGTGCAGAGGCCTGGGGGATGGACGCTAACAGGAACACCTCACCTGAAAGGGCATGGCTGGAAGGAAGCAGCAGGTACAATGATAACCAGGGACACAGTGACTGTTCGTTCTTGAGAAAGGGAGAAGCCCATTCTTAGAAGAAAGGAAATCTGGAGACCAGCAGATCCATGTAGATCCAGTGCCCCAGGGAAGAAGGGAGACCTCCTTCAAGGCTCTAACCATGGGAATCCCAAGTAGAGAAGCTTATAGCTTGTGTGATTTGGAAAGCTAAATCATAATTTTGAGTGTTAGTTCCTTCATCAACAAAATAGTGGTGATGGCACTAAGTTATGCAGACAACATGGAGATTAAACAGAACCAATCATGCACTGTGCTTAACTCAGGTTGATGACAGATTGCCCAGTTAATTTCAGATACTCTTATAATTACCAGAAAGCAAAAAGCACACAGTAGGTCTGAAAAATGAGTACCCTTTCCTTGCCCAGTGTTCTTTTCTACGCTTCCAGTCTTACCCCCACTGCCCTGAGGATAACATTACAAACATTGACCTAATAAAGATGCACACAGACCTCTTTTCATACACCAAGACAATGCAAAGCAAAACAAAACCCAAAAAGGCAAAGCAATTCTCTTTCATGTTTTGCAAGTTTCACTGGGATTTCCTTTCCAAATGAAGAAATTCTATTTCTATTCCAGGAAATAAAGATATTGAAAATAAGAAAGTTCCCCTTAAGATTCACTATTCTGTAGCTCAGCAGTTTTCCCTTTTTATTTTCTCATTTTCCCATATATCATCTGACATATTCCCTCTCCTGTGTCCTCTTGCCAAGAATATGCTTTACACATTAAGTGGGAAAAAAATAGCCACTCGAACCAAAGCATTCCCACCTTGTAAACAGCGCTCTTTCAATCCATTCCTTCATCCCACAAATCATTGCTGTGTGCCTACTATGTGCTGAGCATGTTCGAGACACTTAGCAAACACAGGTATTTTGTTTATGAGTCTGCTCTCATGTAACTCCCGCTCGAGCGTGGGAGCATTCCAAGGAAATATTTCAGTAATGCTTGAGGCTATTCGTAAAAGAAAAAGATGGTGGAAGCTGATGGGAAGTGGGTGCTTCCTAAGACACAGGGAGGTCAGAAAAGGCTTCTGTGCTTTGGGGCAATTTGAGTTGAAACTGAATGATGTCGAAAAGCAAAACATAGGGGCCCTGTGAAGGGCAGATCAGGCGGAGAGAGTAAGTGGAGACCTGCCGGGGGCTGAAGAACAGCTACTGTCAGCCTGGAGGGGCATCGGCCGGAGGAACAGCTTGGAGAGGCAAAGAGAAGGTCACAGAGCACCTCCTGGGCCATGGTATGAAGCTCAGATTTTTCTCCTAAGAAATGATTATTTCAGAGGAAAGAGAAAGTCTCGAGGGAACAGGTTTACATTGATATGGTCAGAGCAGCTGATGAGCAAAGAAAAGAATCAACACAGAGAGCAGGTGAGGCGCCACTACTCCAGACAGCACCCTGAGTCAGAGATGACAGGGCCAGGCTAGGGTGGTCATAAAAGGTGGGCGGAGGTGCCTACCTTTGAGCAACTGCAGGTAGAGACAGGAGATTTGCGGCCAGCTTAGGACTGTCAGGAAAAGGGAGAGGTACAGAGTCCATGTCACCCACAATAACAATGAGAAACACGGACGGTGAGGTTGACGCTGCAGGAATCTCTTTACCTCATTCCATTGTCAGAGCGACCCATGAAGACAAGCACTGATATTACCATTTTAGAGAGGAGGCCAGTGGATATCAGAAAGACGAGGTCCCTTTTTCAAGGACAGATGAGTCAGAGCAGGAGTTTGGACACAGGTTGATCCCAGAATCCATGTTCTTTAACCAAACTGAGCCATGACCCTTTCAGATTCTATTGCCAGTTTCCCCATCTATGAAATGAGGCCTACTAAGACCTGGTAAAGATTAAGTGGCAGAAAGCCACCTGGCTGGGTACTCAAGCTTCGTAGAGGTAAGTAGATTCTTGTGCCCTTCCCATCACATAGCCATCTGACTTCTTCCACTCGTTCATCTATTCATTCACCCATACATGCATTTTACCAACAATCTCTGGGTCTCAATTCTGTACCCACTAGTGATCTTTGCAGAGTGAGAGATTTGGTTACTTACCCTTCATCTGGTGGATTGGGCATTGGTGATATTCTGCATTATAAACCTGCAAAATAAAACCTGGGCCTCCCCAGTGGCACAAGGGTTTAGGATGCAGCCTATGAAGGTGTCTGCAGCTGCTGCAGCAGGAGTTCAATCGCTGGGAGAACAGGTGGATCTACTGAAATACACTGCTGAGGGGAGCTGCCCATACGATGCAGCAGACCTCTCCTGTCTCACCCACTGCTCCCCTCAGCAGTGTGTTCCAGTAGATCCACCTGTTCTGCTCCCCACTCTGTCTCAGGTGAATCCTCTCACCCCACCGCACCTCTGGCCTGTACAGTTCTTGTATGCATAAATAAATAAATCTTTAAAAAGTAAATAAAAAAATAAAATAAAACCCAACCTCCTGATGTGGCATCCGAGTCCTCTCCACTCCAAGCCCCACTAGCACCTCTCCCTTGTCATGTGACACCTTCACAGGCCCCACATGCCACACGTGGGCACCCCAATCCCAGCCAGATTCCCTAATTCCCCATTCCTTCATAGCTCTTTCTTCTGAGAATTATGGGAATGACTCCTACAGTTATCATCACAGCTCTTATTTTTATTACTTTGGAAATTACTATAGTTATAATAGCAACTATTTTTCGTTCACTTAAAAATATCGAACACAAGTTGCTGTGAGTTCACTGAGGCCGTAATGAAGGGCTTCGAGAAAAGGGGTGATGTCTTCTAATTTGTTTTTCCCAAATACGGCTTGGATTATTGTATTGTGAACAGGGGCGCACAGAGACGAGGTGAAATGGGGGCCAGTTAAAAGGTCATTGCTGTTCTCCTGATGAGAGAGGATGGGGCCATGGCCCCCCTGCTACCAGGAAGGGAGGGAGAACAAGTCAGATTGGGGTCTCCACGAAGGGCGCGGAGCTGACAGGGTCAGGCGTGAGCGATAAAGGGAGGAGGAGATGCGATGACTCAAGGATTTGGCCTGAGCAAGCAGAGGGCTGGTGTCCCACTAAGGAGCTGGGAAGACCCTGTAACGAGTGGGTTGTTCTTGAGCTGCCCCTTAGACAAGTGCATGGAGATTATTCACCGAATAATTGGACAGTAATGGGGCTCAAATGTACCAGACATTGAACAGAAACTGGGAAAATAAAACTAAAAGATTGAGCCCTGTCTTCAAGTGCCTGCAACTGACCAAGACGTGGCAGCTGCAGAG